TAGTCACTGGCAAGCAGACCGAAGCCGTTTATGTGGTTTTTGTTCTCTTGCCCTATTCATCACAATCATGGTGGATTAAAAAAAATTTTAAGTCAAAGACAGTACTGTGTCATACTATGCAAATATACATCCAGCACCATTGGTCTAAAGGGGAGTGGGTGGTACCAGGAGCTGCACAGAAACTGTCCTGAAACCTTTCCAAATATGTTAATCATCGAAGGGCGGGACCTGCAATCAAATACACCACTACAACATTAAAATACATATCACTCTGGCGACACACCCAGTACATTTCCTAGAGTTTTTCATTTGTCTTGATGTGAACATGCTATAAAACCACCAAGACCACAGCTCTTTAATTTCTAAGATCAGTCAGAACTGAGCCAGCAAAACTTCAATATAAGAAGAAAAAAAAAGCTGTAAGGTCCTTTTTGGTCAGAGTCTTTCTCATGATGGTGGGTAAATCTGGGATGGCTCTTCTGATCCTCATGACTTCTTGTGCGCATATTAAAATGGGGCAGCTAAAAAATTTAAGTTGAACACATTACAGAAAATTATACATCAATCCTATGTGAAACTTGTGACACTTTTTTCAGTGGGTTCTAATGGTAATATAAGTTTTTTATTACGCTAAACAAGGCAACTTGAAATATTACAGTTGAATCTTGCTATTTAAAAAAGTTAATGAAAACATTAACTCTTAAAATGTCACCTACAGTAAACAAGGCAGGTTTATTTAACCTCCTGAGACCCGACCTATTCATTTATGTCCATTGTAGTGGACATTGTATTTTTGCATTTATTTTTTCACTGATGTTGAAAAATCTTTATTGTCACATCATGTTACTGGTACAGTACATATGAGTGAAATTCTTGTGTGCTAGCTTCACAAGCAGTAGTGGTGTGCAAAATCTATATAAAAAAAACCACTATATATATATATAAAGGTATGTTTATCAAGTTTGTGGCAATTTCGTGGGAATTTATTGTGGATGCTTTACAGTCGTTCTGCTACACGTAAGGCTCAAGCTCAAGGAATACAAACAGGGTTCACGAGCAAAAAATAACGGTAGGGCAACGACTTCGTCTAGCTTGGCAGCTAGCGTTAGCTGACTGGTCATATCAAGCCGCAGAACTTGTCTTCAATCAGCGGAAAAGGTAGAAAGTTATTAAAATGATGTCTGAACGTTGTACTACCCTATATCTACTTCAGATAAGAAGTTTTATGGAAAATTAATGGGTCATGTATCGCTAATCTTATTGTGCTGTTTTGGAGTCAAATTCACCCTGGCACTAAACGTTATAGACAATAATAATTTTCACATTGACTAATATACTCCACCTGTTTCACTACGAAGGGCCATCCTTTACATTACACTGGGTAACTTTTCTTTACCATATAATGGCAGCAGAGGTCCAGTTTCACAGAGGTCGAGATCTCCACAGAGACACGAGAACAGATGAAAACTTAAATTTTTTACCTATTAGTATATATTTCTTTCATGTGAAATTGACCCCAGAGATGAGGTAAGGGTGTTTGTTAACCTGAAGATGTTGATTTTTTTTTTTTTTTTTTAGAAAAATGTCAGACCGTAGGCCGAGAAAGAAATATTTTACGCACGAAGAGGTCATAATTCTCCTTACGAAATACAGAGCACATAAATTGACATTAGAATCCAAATTCAATAATTTTATAACAAACAAAAGGAAGCAGCAGATATGGGAGGACATTACTGAGGCTGTAAATGCTAAGGGAGTGGAGCAGAGGTTAGGAAGAAGTGGAGTGACCTCAAGATGCAGGCAG